TAGATAATATCAGTGTATATACTTTTTCTAATGTGAGCTGTCCATTTCTACTTTTTTTTTTTTTGAGAAAATTGGGATAAGATAATCATTTATTTCCTTGTTCACCTCAAGGGTTGGAGATAGCACATGAGGTGATAATTCTCAGGCCAAAAGAAACACTTCTCCCAGGATTTCTTCAAGACCAAGTTTCAAAATTGTTCTTTCATATGAAGTCCCAAATGTGTCTGGATTTAATTGTTGCATGAAGTACAAAGTAGTCAATCAATATTTCCCATAAATGATCCCTGCATTATTCATGAAATCATCTTTTTCCCACTGATTTGTGATATCAGGTATTCTATGTCAATTTTTTGTGTTTATGTGAGTCCTTTTTCAGCTAGATTTTTATTCTATTGATCTATTCCTACACCAATGCCATGCTATCTTTATCACTACTGATTTTTAATAGATTTTAATATTTGGTAAGAAAATTCTCCTATCTCTTTTCTAAGAGTACTCTTACTTACCCGTAATCCTTTGCTCCTACATATGGCTTTTAGAATCAGCTTTTCAAGTTCTATGAAAAGTCCTGTTAGGATTATGATTGACATTTTATTGAGTTTATATACTGATTTAGGTATTTTTGACATCTTTATTATATTGTCTTCTTATCCATTGACTGGAAATATTGTTGAATTCATGCAAGTCTCCATTTCTGTCCTTTAATAAATTTTTTTGCTCTTGGACACCACACTTTACATGAGCTGAGTCATTTAACGTAGGGTGTAAGAGCCAACACAATACTTTAAAACAGTGCTTTCCAGCCTAAACTATGCCTTTTTTCAAGGTGATAATGTACATGCTCTGTTGCATCTCTCAGGAATGGGTGGGAGAGAACAGCAGCAGAAGAGGGAGCCTCCAAGGCTCAACCACAGTCTCCAAAGTCAACCAGACAAGCATTGACAAGGATGTGGCACCACAGGAGTTCTTGCTGGGAGACACAGCATTGGAAAAACCGTTTGGGAAAACAATTTGGCATTATGTAAAATTGTCGGAGTCTTTTCTGACTATCAACCAGCAATTCTATTTGGATATTTACTCTTACTAAATAAAGTCTAGACTTGCACTGTCCAACATGGTGGTTACTAGCCACTTATGGCTATTTAAATATGGGTATAAATTAATTAAAATTAAATGAAATTTAAAAATTCAGCTCCTCAGTTGTACTATCCACATTAAAATGCTCAATATCCACATGCAGTTTCAGTGGCTGCTGTGTTGAATGACTTAAATATTACTTAAGTTGCTTAAATGTTACTTTCATAACAGAATGTTCTATTGGATTGCATTTCCTACAGAATCTCTTAAACAGAAAATAACAGTAAAATTATTCACTATAGTGCTGTATATAATGATAAAAAAAGAAACAAAGTCTCTATCAACAGTATAATGTACAAATAAATTTTTATGTATTTACAAAGCTGACAACCATTCAGTGAAAATCAATGAACTCGGCTACACACATCAACTTGTGTGCATTGGAAAAATCTTGTTGCGTGCACAAAAGTAAGTCTTGGAAGAAAACATGTAGCATAATTAAATTTACATATAAGTTAAATGGACAAAACAGCTTGTTAAATCACACGGCTTGTTAAATTTTTTAAATTATCACACCTGGTCCTGAGAAGGCAGCAGGAGCAATGTAATGCTTCTATAGTGGGATCCAAGGTTGAGAGGCTTCCAAGAACCTGGAGTCATGTTCAAAGCCCTCCTGAATTCATCGTCTCTTTTCATTCAGGAGAATTTTATTGGTTGCATTTATTCAGGGGGTGCAGTACTCAAAGGGAATAGCAGAATTCATCAGGATACTGTTCAGTGGCTCCAACCATGTCTGGATCCCAGATCCTTTTGATAGCTCAATGAAGTTTAATGTTAGATCCTTCAAGTTTGTACAGTTATGGAACTAGTTTCAAAAACTGGCCCAGAACTTTGCAAATCAGAGGTTCTGGACATTTTCCAGTGGGGTTGAAAGACAATGTGTAATTAATAGTTTGCTTTCCACATGTACGGGTTCTTTTAAAACATTTAAACATACCTTTTACATCTTTGGCTCACAAACTATAATCCCCCGTCCACTCTGAACGAACTGTAAAACATTCCAAATGAGAAGGATACAAAATAATGAGATAAGTGCAAAAGAACAGAATGAATTGCATCCAGAAAGATCAAAATAGGGGTAGGAATGTGAAGACATTTGGACATTTTAGAGTCAGATAAGAGACATCAGGAAAAGCTTCTAGAGAAAAACATGGAATAAAGAGACTCTGCAGCTAAGATGTGAGGTGTCCCAGACCTGGAAGAAGGAGGGAGATTATGTCCCCTTCTTCCAAGCATGAAGTCAACTTCTTTCTTTGTCCACCCAGCACAGGTGTGGGTTTAAGAACCTTCACTGAGCATACATTGCAAGATATTCTGATATCTTGCAATATCTGAAATATGGCTATAATCATTTTCCTACAGCTGTGGTCGTTTCCCTACTGTATCTCTTAATCATCCCCAAAGATAAACATGGATCCAAATATTTCACCCTATAATTTTTCTAACACCAAGTATAGGTAAGCCAGTGAAGTCTCAGTGAACGTTTTTATGCCCAAGAGTGTAAAGAACTAGAACTCTGCAATGTGGGATGTATGTCTCTCCCCATAACCTTTGAAATCAGTGTGCTCAGAGCTTATATGTGCCACTACTTACACAGCTGTCCTGTGGCAGTTACACACACATGCCTGCCATTCAGAGTTTTGGAGTGTGTGTTGATATCTGTGTGTGTGTAAAGATAAATGGGTGCTTACTTGGATGCAAGACATGATACAAGTCATTGCTGGCATGCTGTTAGAAACCCCATGTTAAAACAAACCACCTGAGGGACAGCTTCTGGCCCTTGGACTCACTCATTCACTCGTGGGACTATTCAGGATATAATCTGTGTCCAGTCTACAGTTGTCTTTTCACTATGGGAGCAGAAGTTTGAATCAAAATAGAACATTAAACCAAAATCAACAGCTATTAAACAAATGGACAATTAATGACTACTAAACAAAATATGGTTCCTTCTATGGTAATTAAAAAATGGCTGTAACATTGTACATTTTAGGAGGACAAAGAATCAGAAGCTGACTAGAAACCAAAGGGAGTGTGGAGGAAAAGCCAAGTGGAAACATTGTAGCTAATCAATTAGAATGAACATAAGAAAAATTAACATCGAAACTGAGAAAGTATTCCAATGAACCCAATATTTCCACACAGCCCTCTGAACACAGCACAGGATGTATCAGTAATGGAACAGGGTGTGCACTGGGCAAGTCAGAAAGATACCAGTACTACCGTCTCGGTGGGAAAAACATCCCCAGGGGTTGTCCACAGGGCCAGTCTGGCTGTACCACGGCTGCTACTGTCACGAGTTAGGGTGGAAAATGTGATGAACCTGATTTGTCTTTCCTAATCTGTATACACAATCAATGACACCATTTTTTAATTTTTAGGACCAAGGCATTTGGCATTTTTTGTGTGCCTGGTAATGTTTGCCAAGTGTATTAGAGTTCTCTAGAGGGACAGAGATTTGATTCAATGTACATATATATATGGGAGTTTGTTAAGTATTAACTCACATGATCACAAGGTCCCACAATAGGCTGTGTGCAAGCTGAGGAGCAAGGAGAGCCAGTCCAAGTCTCAAAATTGAAGAACTTGGAATCTGACGTTTGAGGGCAGGAAGCATCCAGCACGGGACAAAAATGTAGGCTGGGTGGTTAGGCCAGTCTAGTCTTTTCACATTTTTCTGCCTGCTTTATATTCTAGCCTCACTGGCAGCTGATTAGATGGTGTCCACCCAGATTGAGGGTGGGTCTGCCTTCCCCAGCCCACTGACTCAAATGTTAATCTCCTTTGGCAGTGCTCCTCACAGACACACCCAGGATCAATACTTTGCATCCTGCAATCTAATCAAGTTGACAATCAGTATTAACCATCACACCAAGCTTTTGCTGGAGCCTCTAGATGACAATTTTGATTGAGTCAGAAGGATGAATTTGGCAGAGATGTTGGTCATATTAGCAATTCATTGCACAGGTGGAGGACCTGAGGTATATATTCAGCAGCAAATGGCTGTCTGCCTCCTGCCTCCAGGCTGATGTGGGGATGGGTTGGCCTCTCACCTTTATTGCCCATGCCCTAGTCTGGTGGAATATAAGTGGTTTAAAAGTGTAACTGTTTTCTTTTTCATAAGAATCAGACTGCCTTGGTTCAAACTGTGGCTCCATCACCTTGCAGCTTTGTGGCCTCTGGCAATCTATGGAACCTCACTGACCCACATATGTGATGGAGATAATGATAGGGTTGTTGCAGGAGCACACTAGACGATAGATTAAAGCACTCAGTATAATGCCTGTTTGTAGGAAGCATCTACTAAATTTTAGTTGCCACTATAATTAAGCACTTGCCCTATTTTTCAAATGCCATTTTAGCCTTTCAAATAGGTAGGAAAGAGACTATGGATCATAAAGTTTATACTTTCTTGTTTCTAAAAATTATGCTTGGAAAAATTTATATAAATTCATTTATAGCTGAATGAAAGTTTGGACATTTGGTCTGTCTTCAGAAGTATTTATTTGAAGATGTAGGCCCTACCACTCAAATTAATATGTATCACCACTGATGTGCGTTATGTTGCTTCTTATACCTATTATATGTATGTGTGAAACTAAGCCCATAAAAACAGAATTTAGACATTTCCTGCTGAAAGGAAGTGAATCAAAGGGAAGAAAAGCAGAGCCTTTGCAAGGAGAAAATTGTCCTATCTTTCAACCAGTGTCAGAATGTGAAAATGTTTACAAAATGCTCATTAAAAGAAATAGGGATTACAAGATAGAAACAAATTCTGGTGCACAAGTTTACACTAGGGAGATAAGAAAGGCTAGGCCTCTATAGGGGATTTTGTTATCCAATTACTGCAACCTGACTTCTAGGGGGAGAGGAAGAGTGGTAGGGGGAGGAAGAGAGAGAGGAAGAGTTTCCAAACTTGTCTCCAGTGACAGGAGACATTTACGCCCCACAAGATAAAACTGCCACTTAGAGCCCAGGAGAGCTAAACCTTCCTGGCTTGGCCTAGGGGCTTGAGCGGAGTCATGGGCTCTCCAGTCCTGACACTGTGTGCTCTTCTCTGCCTGGTGGCTCACTTGGTTTCTGGCAGCCCCATCATGAGCCTAGACCAGTCTCCTCTAGAAGAAGATATGCCCCTTTTTGATGATGTTTTCTCAGAGCAAGATGGTGTTGACTTTAGCACATTGCTCCAGAGCATGAAGAATGAGTTTCTCAAGACATTGAACCTGTCTGACATCCCCACAGAGGATTCAGCCAAGGTAGACCCACCAGAGTACATGCTGGAACTCTATAACAAATTTGCCACAGATCGAACCTCCATGCCCTCTGCCAACATCATTAGGAGTTTCAAGAATGAAGGTAAGTTTTTGCTGATGAAATTTGACTTGGAATTTTTTCAAGACACGATAAGTAAATTTATAACGCATGAGAATGATATAGGTAAGGGTAAATACATCTATATAAGGATGTTTAATACATACGGATATACAAAAACAAGGTACAATCTGGTCTATACTATGTATGTAGTCATTTCAGAACCTCAAAATACTTACAAACATCTTTAACCCAAAGCCGCAAAACACCTGTCAATTTGACATTATAATTGGGTTCCTTTTAAAAGCGTTAATTTGAACAAGTACTACACAGCATTAATGTTGCTGTCTCTTTGTCATTTCCCAGATAGGCCTTAGTTGCCTAGGCGTTTGATTAGCTAAAAAATTTCTAAACTTCTACTTAGAATAAAAATAATAAACACAATCAAAAAGCATCAAGTTGTGATGTGTGTTTTGTTCAAACTTTTGATGTTTTTATTTTGCGATGTTATTTAAGAAATGTTGAAACAGTATGGAAATATGTTTTAGAGATTCTTCCTAAGGCTGTGTTGTTTGACGTGCCATGTACATCCTTAAAGCACTGTTTACAGTTTCCAGGAAGTGTGATGGGCCCATTAATCATCCAGCTCATCATTTCCATCTTTATGAAGAGTGATGTACAAGATTGAATTATTGGTGAGAAAAATGTGTTTTCTTCTCCTAGGTGTTTAACTTTGGTAGCTAAATCTAATGAGTTAATTTTTTTTTTCTTAATAGCTTAATATAGTCCTATCGGGGGAAAGAAAATCCTGATATCTAGATATCTATGACAGAAACTGAAGGTCCAAATAAACGAATTCTTTAATATTTGCCAATTATGCCATTATAGTCACTAACCACGTACAAAAGAGGCTTCTGATTAATGTTGGCCTGATGTTCTTGAAAGAAAAAAGGCAGTGGTGAAGAAATAGCTCAGGATATGGAATTTTGAGAGCTGGTTTGCTTAGTGGTTGTGAATAATTAGCTGATGTCTCAGACTCTCAATTTCCTCGTCTGTAAAGCGGGGGTAATAATACCTACATAACAAAGTTGAGTGACTCAAAAGAGGTTACAGGTAAGAAAGTATTCCATTTACTATGAAGTGCTGATCAAACTTCAGTGATTACTAGTGAGTTACTTAATATTCTAGTTGCTGGAATAAATGTCGAGTGGGTATTCCTTAGTCCCTAAGATGTTGTTTGCCTTTAAAATTGAGTTGGCTGCCAAAAGTTCTATTTCATAACATCTTTCTCCTGGAAATGGCAAGCCGAGATTACAGATTCCTTTTAGAGGTGAGTCTAAATTGAAAATGAATAACCTCCTCCTGTAAGAATCCCCACTGTCTCAATACTTCTCAGAACTGAGCCCTAAGTGTCTGGTTCAGGGTACAGGAGAGAAAATGTTGTTTGCATCCCCCAGAAAAGTAGAAAGGTTTTCAGTTCTTACTTCTTCCAGAGAGTATCTGGATAACCCAGGTCAGTATGTGGAGTTTACTGTGCTTATTATTCCTGGAGATTATTGAGGGCAGGAACACATCTCTCAGTAAACAACTCAGCGGCCAGCACCTCTGCCAGTCTGTAGGACATGTGCAACCTGAGGACAGAAATCACTGCACAGGGCATGCCCTGTTGGCTACTATTGCCTCTCTTCTGACTCTTTGGGTCTGCTTAATGCAGCTCCCTAGGAGACAAAGACCAAAACCAAAAAACAAAAACCAAAAAGTCAAAACCTACCTCATCTTGGGAAAAATGTGCCACCTCCAAGGTGAAAAAAGCATGCCCTCAATTCCTAGCACTGTTCTTTTATCACATTGTCATCTGGGGAAGTCAGGTCTCTGCATCAGGGCTTGATTTCTTCTGGTGCAAAATGGGTAAAGAATCAATACCTGCATTGTGGGGTCATTGTGAGAACCAGAGAAGATCATGCTTGCAGAGCACCTGGCATGAGAAATTTGTCCACAAACATTAGTTCTCTTGCCCTGAAATGTAACTCTTCCATTTACTGCTTACTGCATTTGCACATTCACAAAACTTTCCAGTGAACTTGCTTTTTCAAAACAGTTTTATTGAGGTATAATTGACTTATAGAAAATATGACATTTAAAAATGTTGATGTATAAAAGTATAATTACACATATTTAAAGTGTATAATTGGAAAGGTTTTGACTTCTGTAAACATTCATTGAAACCATCAGCACGATCAAGATAATGAATTTATCCATTAGCACCAAAAGCTTCCTTGTATGCTTTGTAATGCCTTCCCCCTGCTACAGTGAGCTTTTATTCTATACTTCTCTCCTGGGTAGAGCAACCAGCCTATTCCTCCATTTGGGGTCTTCTCATGTTCCCTGTGCAGTGGGAGTCAAGTCTCCTCCCTTCTTAGAGTGGAAGAATAAATCCCAAGCCACTTACTCAAGAGCTTGATGATGGATTAAGGTCATAGGTCATGCCCATGAATCAATTTAGTCTGATGCCTAAAATCATCAGCTAATCAATATTTTTAAATCACTACCTCTGTTTAAGCCCTTATAGTAGCACAGAGACATAGAAGCGAGTTTTGAGCCGTTCATACCAGGAGGATGGCAGTCTAGTTGGGAAAATCCATTCATAAAAAGATGACTGAAGCATAAGGTTGTAAATGACAAGGATCAAAGGAGATATAAAGTGCTCAAGTGATTCAGAGGGGAGGGGAGGGAACTTTCAGAAAGAGAAGTAAGGAAGGGAGGCTTTTATAGATGTCAGTGCTGGGTAGGTGGAGGTGAGGTGAAAGGGCTTTCAAGGGTCAGAAGAACATGTGAAAGGTGAAAATTACAGGGAAAGAAAGAACGTTTGACAGGTGGTAAAGATATCAATGTAGTTGAAACAGAAGGGTTTACAAATCCATTAAATTGTTCACAAATATTATTGAGTGATCACATTAAATTGTTCACAAATATTATTGAGTCATGGCTTCCATGCATGTATGGAAGCCATGACTGATCAGAAGGCTAAGACCCAGATATAGCTGGCCTTGAGAGCTATGCCAGGGAGTTTAAATTCATTCTGTAGGTCAGCATTTCCCACTGGCAATGTGTAAGATGATTTTAGGTGGTACCCATAGAAAGCTGTTAATTATGTGAAACCATTTCATATGTATTTTAGCAAACACACATACGTATCACATCATTCCTCTCCTTTTATGAATGATGTTGCTTAGGATAAGTCTAAAATAGATAATAAGTGCAAAATAATCCGAGCAAGTTAAAGGAAAATATTAAGAGATTATAATCTGGAACAGGGACTCACTGAGATCACGAATTAAGTATAAACTTGGTGAAATGCTGCCAAAGATGACAGAGAACCCCTCAATTGGTGGTCCTGGATCCCTTTGAGAATCTGATGGCAAATGCCTTCAGGGCGTCCTTGTAGACTCATTACCTGAGACAAGTGTGCAGAAGCTTTGGGGTCACTATAAAATCTTCAGATAGGAAGTCAACATGACAGTATTTGGAGATGTGCTTCCAAGACTAAGATTAGAAGGTGTGCTTCTAAGACTTTTACAGATTTGTTTCATAAACATTCTTGAGTAAGTTGTATGTACCATACTTCATGCCAAGTGCTAGGGGTATAAGGCTAGTGCTAGGAGTGTAAGACTAAGGCAATGAATCTAGTTCCAGGATTCATTTTCTCCCATTTCTCTTTACAGAGGACCATATAATCAAAAATAGACTGCTGTGACCTTCTTGGTTTATGGCTGTCTTATTGACCTTGTCAGGGTTTGTTGCTGAGAACAGAAGTCAGCAAGCTTCTTCTGTAAAGGGTCAAACAGATAATAACTATTTTAAGCTTTGCAGGCCATATGCTCTCTGTTGTGACTATTGAACTCTGCCATTGTAGTGCAAAAGTAGCCATAGATAATACAAAAACAATGTATGAGGCTGTGTTCCAATAAAACTTTCTCCAAAAGCAGGTAGCAGGCCAATTTTGGCCCATAGCCTATAGTTTATCAACCTCTGATACATATGGAAGCCTTTTAGGAAGACCAGTGCCTAGGCAACTATGTGGGGATCTCCACCCATTACAAACACAAACATTAAAACACCATGAAGTCTTCATCCCTGAAAAGCTTCAAGAAAAGAACAATCATCACATGTCCCATTTGGTGGCTCTTTGTTGGTTAGGAAATTTGGGGACTTGCCCATACAATTTCCAAGGTCCCTCCCAGTTCTATAATTCTGTGGCTGATGAGCTATTCAAAAGCAAGGCTGGCTAAGTTTTATCCCATCCATTAGACCCTCACTTTCCATTTTTGTCTTGGCAGCTGAACTCTTTTGGGCATTCTACCACAGACCTTTTGGGATTCCCTGTGTCACAGAATGCTGACACTGTGTTTGTTCTCATTGATCTTCTCCCTTCATTCTTTCTGCATTAAGCTTAATGCATGGGAAAGCCTTCTTATTGCATAAATAAGCATCTGTTTTTCCCTGAGACCCACTGCAAATCTGATTTTTGCAAATTTCTTTTTTCAGATCTGTTTTCCCAACCAGCCAGTTTTAATGGGCTCCGAAAATATCCTCTCCTCTTCAATGTGTCCATTCCTCACCATGAAGAGGTCATCATGGCTGAACTTAGGCTGTACACACTGGTGCAAAGGGATCGTATGATATACAATGTTGTAGACCAAAGAATTACCATCTTTGAAGTGCTGGAGAGCAAAGGGGATAATGAGGGAGATAGAAACATGCTGGTCTTGGTGTCAGAGGAGATCTATGGAACCAACAGTGAGTGGGAGACTTTTGATGTCACAGATGCTATCAGAGGTTGGCAAAAGTCAGGCTCATCCACCCACCAACTGGAGGTCCGCATTGAGAGCAAACACGGTGAAGCTGAGGATGCCAGCAATGGACGACTGGAAATAGACACCAGTGCCCAGAATAAGCATAACCCTTTGCTCATCGTGTTTTCTGATGACCAAAGCAGTGACAAGGAGAGGAAAGAGGAACTGAATGAAATGATTTCCCATGAGCAACTTCAAGAGCTGGACAACTTGGGTGTGGATGACTATTCCAGTGAACCTGGGGAAGAGGCTTTGTTGCAGATGAGATCTAACATCATCTACGACTCCACTGCCCGAATCAGAAGGAACGCCAAAGGGAACTACTGCAAGAGAACCCCGCTCTACATTGACTTTAAGGAGATCGGGTGGGACTCCTGGATCATTGCTCCGCCCGGATATGAAGCCTATGAATGTCGTGGTGTTTGTAACTACCCCCTGGCAGAGCATCTCACACCCACAAAGCATGCAATTATCCAGGCCTTGGTCCATCTCAAGAATTCCCAGAAAGCTTCCAAAGTCTGCTGTGTGCCCACAAAGCTAGAGCCCATCTCCATCCTCTATTTAGACAAAGGCGTCGTCACCTACAAGTTTAAATACGAAGGCATGGTCGTCTCTGAATGTGGCTGTAGATAGAAGAGGAATCCTGTGGCTTATTTAATAACTGTAAATGTGTATATTTGGTGTTCCTATTTAATAAGATTATTTAATAAGGGTGTACAGTACTAGAGGCTTGCTGTCTTCCAGAAATGGACAGGTCAGTTTATTGTAGGAAATGCATGTTTTGCTTTATAGGTAAGTCCCTTTCAATCTGTTTTCTCTTTGGACTTGCCATTTCCTGGCAATGCCACCTCCATGTTGGTTTGAAAACAACTCCAAGGCAAAATACAGTATCAAAAGATACATACTTGTGTATGTATGTGTGTATATACATGAACTAATGAAAATCTTTTGGTTCTGTGCAGGTAGATTATACTCACATGCATGACCCACTCAAATGTGTGTATATTAAAGGCCAATGGCATGTTCTCTGCTACCTCTTCTCTGAGTAGGATTTATGTCAAGATAATTTGCATCAGGGATTTAATCATCCTTGGAAGTATTATACTTCCTAAATACTTTAGAAATTTAAGTGTAGCTTTTGTCACTTGAGTTTCTGTGGTTTCTTTGAGACACAAGGCCTGGCAAGGGATGCTTGAAGGGAAGGGTTAATTAATGTAGAAACCAAATGGACTCAAGAGGTCTTAGAGGTACAACAGGAAAAATGAGCCAGCTAGAGACCAATGTGCTCCAGAGGGCAGCTCCTGGCCAAGGAAGGAACACAGAAGAAACCGCATGAAATCTGTTCCTGAGACAATAGGAAAGCAAGGTCATGTGTACTGGCCGTTGCTGCTGCAGAGGGTAGAGGGGTCCCAAGGGCACTTGAAGGGAAGAAAGGAAGAAAGGGAAGAGGATATTGATGTTATCTTCAGAGGCTATCCCCAGATGTGTCTGTAACATCATAAATGGTTTTATTTAAATAATTAAATATTTTGGACAAAATAAAACTATCAAAGACTAAGAGGAGAAAAATTAGAAGGGACTTGGAATTGCATTTGTCCCTTTGTGGGTGCCCTGTGAGAGGTGATATGGGGGCTAAGGAGACTGGCTTTCTAGTAGAAGTGAGCGCCTGAGAGGACGATTTGGTCATTGGACACAGATTGCAGGCTTTGAGAAGTGCTCGGATGCCTGACGTGGCTGCCCAGCCATTCAGCTTGGGGCACTGGGCTCTGCAGAGACAGTGCTTGGTATTCAGCCTGTTGGAAGAAAGGATTTTAATATTTTTCTTCACCTGTTAACGCTGCTCCCTTGTCCCCACGCCCCTGCTTTTCTCTCTGCTCCATCCTCTTCCTTCCCTCTTTCTTTGCCCTAGTGCCTCATGTCTTCCCCCCAGGCCTGTGTCCCACTCTTCCCTGGCCTTCATTACACATGCTGTGAGCTGCAAAGGGGCACCTAAATGCCTTCGCTGTCAGAGTGAAAAGAGTTCGTGTTTTAATTTCTAAATCTTCCTCTGATATTTAATTTGATTTTATTTTAATAATATCCTTTATCAAATGTTTTGTTCATGAAGAATACTTAGGTATAAGAAAAAAGAAAACCAGAATAAATAAGTATAAGAAAAAGAAAACCAGAGTCCAAATGAATGGATGAATGAATAAACAAAAAAAAATGGATTTATGAATAGACACACAACCAAATGACTCAAAAGCTAAGGCTGAATTTTGAAATAATGTTTGCTTCATGGTAGAAACCCAGTAACTTTCCCATCTTCTCATTTTCCCATCGTCCCATTTTGCAGCTGGCCAGGACTGAAAGTATTGGGGAAGTGTTCCGGACAGGAAGAGTCTGGTGGGTTTTCCTGGCAGGTGGCAGGCTCCAGTCTTAACCCCCACCATTTCCCTCTACCCCGCAAGCATATCCTGGGCTTTGTGCAGGAGGAACCAGAGCAGAGCAGTTTCCAAACCATTCCAGCACCTCCAGACAGGGAATGTCGATGGTTCATGTTAGAACCAGGAACATGGTTTCCAGTACATCATCCCCCATTCATGCCTGCTCATCTTAAGGAATGCTTCCTTAAGAAGTCTGGCACTTTTTTTTTTTTTGGACCCTGGAAAACAATCAGTCCCTTTTACAAATCTCTTAAGGTTATAAACACAAACTGCACTAGACAACAGAGGCAAGGAAAACTATTTGGAAGAACTTTTGCCCAATTTGAACCTCAGCTGTCTAGATCTATTGTCCACTGAGTGAATCCTGGGGAATTCATTGCTTCTGGAAGAGTGATATTTTGACCATCAGTGGGTATTCAGTGATTGATACTTTGAGAAAATGCAACTCAGAATCACTATTTGTGGAATAGCCTACATATAACATAATGTGTGGTGTGTATTTGTGTGTGTGATGTATAGCTGGCTTTGGACAGCCACACTTAGTGCCCTCAGTGGAATGTGGTGCATCCTTAATACTCCATGGTACACAATGTATACTCACATACTCCAAGGTACTTCTTATCCTTTCTAAAGGACACTGTAATAGATACACAGTAAAACCTCAGCTGACCAGGATAGTCCTGGTTAGATAAAAATGAAGCAAAATTTTCTTTATGTCTAATACATATGATAGTAGTGTGCTGGTAAATGCCTTTCAACCAGCAAACCAGGGTTGGAAAAAGCCCCGATTTGTGGATTTCAGTGCTGTAAATGCTCTTACTATAGTGTATCTTGAGCTACCAATGTAATGTCAACTGGCTTGCAAAATTAAAACTTAAGTCAGCTCTTGGGAGCTGTGCACTGGCACTGGCACACCGCTGACATTTAGTATCCCACTGACATTAGCACACCGCTAACATTAGCACCCTGATACTAGAATGTTAAGGATGTGCCAGCCCTGCTTTCCACTCTGTGCGCTGCTGGCTCTGGGCTTCTGGAGTAATCTTGTCTCGAGCACTTATACTCACTCTTCTGTTAAAGAGATATGAAAATATAGGCTGTTAGCGATGAGGCTTCGTAGCTCAGTTGTTTCTCTTTTTGCCCATCCAGATGTAAACCAGCATTTGTATTATTTTCTGCTTCCCTGTGGAAAGGAAGTACAGAGAGGAACATATTGGTTATTCAAATGTTGCTAGTTGTATTTTTTTTTTTTTTTGGCTTTCTTTTTATCAGGAAGTGCAAAGACACAGCCCATAGAGGAATTCTCCCAGCTCCCACGGGGTCCCTGGCTGCACACCTGCATCACTTCCAACTCACTGCATTGACAGGAAGCCAGAATATTGTCAGATACTTAAAAGGGTAGAACCTTACTAATGTTTCTCTTGTCATAGACCTTCTGCTAGGTCCCATGCCAATCTTTTTTTTTTTAACCCTTTTATGGCAGAATTATTATCACCAAACTTGATATATCTCAACAACTCTCAAAGAGAATTATAGCAGAGGGACCTGGGCAGCCCACAGCCAAAATATTCATATAAGAGTTTCTAGGCTTCCCACTATTTATTGATTGATATATTTATTTTTGTAATATATTGTAGAATACCAAATATTTTATTTTTGTGTCTGTGATTCCCTTTTGGATAGAGAGTCTTCTGGCTTCAGAGTATAGCTCATATATAATATATGGCCTGTATTTTCATCTCTCTTTTTTGCATCAGAATGTTCTGTTGGTTTAAGGCATCTTGCCATAGCTTGCCATAATTTCGTATATTTGTGTTTTGCAGGCATGCTGTGCCTACAAGAATGCTTTGTAGTTTATTTTCTGATTTGTAAATAGTACAATTTTAACTAAAGTGTAGACGTTCCAGAAAATGTTTAATCAATACATTGTCATGCATTTCCATGAAGTGATGTTGTCAGTTTATCATGAGAGGCAAATATTGTCAGGCTGTGAGAGAATATGATTGCTACTCAGTAAATAAAGATACCATTTAAATGAATCTTTTTATCCCCCAAAGCTGGTACTTCCCCTCTGAATTTACCTATTGCCTTCACTAACCCAGAAATTTGAGACATAATTGGTCAAATTCATTTGTAATTGGACCAATTACTTTGTAAATGTCAAAAACATTAGCTTAATGAACTCCAAAAGAGTTTGCCCCAAAGTGCCTGATTCTTTCTTTCCTGACGTGTAAATTTTGGTCTGGGGAATTAATAACAAAAACTTTTTTTTTTTTTTTTAGAACTGTTACTAAATGTTTCAGTATTTGCTATGATTTATATTCTTCAAGTAAAAGGTATTTTCATATAAGAGAATTTTATGTATTACTTCTTACTTAATTCATCAACAAACTATAAAGCCAGCAGGGTTTTGGCCAACCCTTCTTAACTTGTCTAGAACACAGACAAGTTGTCTAGAAGGGATGTTGCCCTTTTTAAGGACTGTAGATCTTTTCAGAGTCACTGCGGGTCATTCCTAACCCTTTGCAGTTCTTCAAGCTAACGTGTGGTGCAAGAGGAAATGCTGCTATGACTCTGCATTTCCTTGCCCCTAGACAAGAACAGTTGATTTCATACATTAAATGGAAGGTAGATAAGACTATGCAAGAGAAGCATACGGGGTGTTTCTGCATGTGGACATATTTTTCATTAGTTAAAAACCCATCACGGAATAACTGTTTGTTGTGATTGGCATGTTTTTATCACGCACTAGCACTGGTTTTGTGAGCACCTGGCTTGATGGTAGTGGGGCGGCCAGTGTGCCAGTGCCCGCCTGCTGAGCATTCGTGGACGTTGGAAATCAGTGAACACCACCGACACAACGAATCAGCTGACGCACGTTCATGTTGTAGGGTAAAACCTGTTGATTATCTATGTCCAGATTTGTATAGTTATCACTAGACTAAAATGAAGATGGAAACAAATATTTTACCCTGTGTTCATGAACCAAATGTGTACAGTCTTTTCAAATAAAATTAAAAAAAAAAATTTTGATGATAGTTATTTGCAGCTTATTTTTCCTTGAGGTGAAATATTGAGTTTTGCACATACCGCTCTTTTTCATTTTTCTACTTGATAACATCGCCAGATGGAATAAAACTAATTGCTATATTAATAGAGAATGGCCCAAAGAAACCATAAGGTATTTTGAGCTTGTAAGTGACCTCAGTAGAGAGTGGGATTTAGTTGTTCCGTGGTTCTCCCACTTTATATGACTTTGTGTAATTCCCATGAATGCCACAGGCATTCATGGAAAATACAACTGCCCCCCCCACCTTTGTCAGTAGCTGGGAAATATTTCTTCTTTGAATAAATACC